CCCCGCCCACTTCCGCCCCCACAAAGGGCGAAAATCTGTGGCATCCACAATTTCGACGATACGAGAAAACTAAAAACGCAGAATCGTAGAAGATGACTATATATTCTAGAGTGCAAAATCTGAACCAGATCGTATAATTATTACAGCCAGAATTACGAAAACAATTTCACTCTTTCTCGCTCTGTCTCACTCTAACACACAGGATTCATAGTCGGTTTTGCCAATTGCAAAATATGAGTTCAAGGATCTCAGAACCCATAAGAGCTAGAGCAACCAAATTTGGTATCCACACTCCTGTGATATCGGACCTTGACCGTTTTGTGTCGAAATTTCGCCGCACCCCCTTCCGCCCCCGCAAAGGACGAAAATCTGAGGCAACCACAAATCTCAGAGACTATTAAGGCTAAAGTAACCAAATTTGGTACACACACTCCTTTAAGATGTCACTATAAAACGTATATCTCAGAATTTCGCCCCACCCCCATCCGCGCCTACAAAGGACGAAAATCTGTTGCATCCACAATATTGCAGATTCGAGAAAACTAAAAACGCAGAATCATAGAGAATGACTATATCTATCCGGTTGCTGAATTTGGATCAGATCAGATAATTTTTGTAGCCAAAAGGAACAAATCAATTTGCATTGGCTACGCAGCGCCCGACGTCACGCTCAGACTGATTTTCTGTCTCTCTCGCACGCATTCTTTGTCGTGTCGTTTAATATTAGCGGCGTCTGCCGGAGGAGAGCCATACTGACTTAGTATCGGGTATAACTGTAGAGTTGCGGTGTCCGCAGCAACTCACAACGTTCCCCCTCGTTTTTATTGTATAATTATTACTCTTGATTTTTATTGATTAATTATTATTATAATTATTATTCTTGATTTTTATTGAATAATTATTATTCTTGATTTTTATTGTAGAATTATTATTCTTGATTTTTATTGAATAATTATTATTTTTCAATTTTATTGTATAATTATTATTCTTGATTTTTATTGAATAAATATTTTTTTTTTTGATCAAAACATTAATAATATAATTATTATTTTTGATTTTTATTGAATAATGATTATTTTTTATTTTTTATGAGTAATTTTTATTTAGGATTCTTATTGTTTAATTATTAGTTTTGATTTGGATTGCTTTTGCATAAAATAAAACTAAAAAAATTCAAAAAAAAAAGAGGAGGAACGAAATTTTGAAATATATGTACTTGTAACATTGACATATAACAGAAGTCCGGATATAAAATTTCGTTGCTCTAGCTCTTATACTCTTTGAGTACTAGGCGCTGATAGGGACGGACAGACAGACAGACAGGGCTCAATGGACTCGGCTATTGATGCTGATCAAGAATACTTTATGGGGTCGAAACGATTCCTTCTGGACGTTACACACATCCATTTTCACCACAAATCTAATATACCCCCATACTCATTTTGAGTATCAGGTATACAAATTCATACCCTTGTTCACAGGATGCTCTGGCTTGATATTTATGGACAGAACGGATCCGGAATCCTTCGATTTTCGAGGTTTTTTGTAGAATGCCTGATCCTACCTTCCGCAGCTTCGTTAATCGATAACATCGGCTCGACTTACGCCTTCAGATGGCTGCCCTGCCGCCTGCCGGCATTACTCCTTACTTAACTTCTTAATGCAAATACTGCAAATTAAATAAATTTCTTTGGCTGCCATCGCCGAGTTGGCTCAGAAGTTTGCGTGCCAAGACAAAATGAAACCCTTTACGTGCACAAGGTGCAAAAAGTATCCGGAAAGTTTTCCAGCTGTTTATTTATTTGTTTGCTGATTATGGAATTTTTGCGAAGTAGATTCGAAAATGGCTGAACTGAGATATGTACTATACGTACTCGTAAGCTCGGAGACAGGTGAAAAATAAATTGGATGATAATTATTTTTGGTAAAAGAACACACTCAGTCCCTTTTGCCTTCTGGATCTCTTGTTTACCGTTCTCCTAGGACGGTTCGGAGGAGGCTTTTAGATCCCCCTCTTATCCACATATCTCTGATAGGTGTTGGGGTTAGATGGTCTTCGATAACCCAAAGAAAACTTTTTCATTATTTCTTTTTGTGTTCTTGGGGTTCGTATTAATTAATTTCCATTTCCGTTTTGTTATCATGGGTACGCCGATTTTTACCTTCATGCTGACTAGACAATTAATCAAGTTTAATTACGGGGCAAGTGGCGCCGCACCCACCGACTCCTTATCCACTCGCGTTGCGAGTCGAGAGACGCGGACCCCCCTGAGGGTCCTCGATGTGGTGGGGCCTCATCGGCCAGGTCCTGCATTAATCACTGGAATATGCTCACATTTCTCAGAGCGCCATACATATGTATGGGGTAGGGCTTGGGGTCTCTGGCTAAGAGATAAAGCCCGCCATTAGGAGATGCCGCACGTATAACAATACATCTGGATTGAGGTGGGTCATTTAAATATTTTCGCTCTGAAATAACTTTGGAAGCCAAATTTTTCCTTAAGGTTTGGTTTTTTTTAAGGCTTTTGTTGATGGATTTCGTTTCCTACAAAGATTTTAAACTGTTTGTATGAATGACTGAGCTTGCTTAAGTCCTAACGAAATTATCCCTTGATACCATCCTGCAAGCAGTTCATCGACTGAACTTAAAGTTCCGGTTAATTTTCTCTTAAAAATAAACCTGTGTATGCGCATCTGGATTTTCTGTCTGAAGCCACTGTAGGCAGACGCACAGCAACAGCACTTTTGATCAAACAGCAACAGCATAAACGAAAGCTAGATAGAAACCACAGCCATGCCCACGTAGTTTTATCCGATTGATGAAATAATTTTCTACAAGATTGGCTGTTTTTTAGTCCTTAGACTGCCGGACTGCCAATAAATATTTAAAAACCCCAGAAATAATACACGCATAATATTTTAGCATTCTTAGAGTTCAGACCTCGAATCGTTACTTTGAATTCAATTTTTTCAAATAATACTTTTGAGTTCCAAAAAACGATAATCCCAGAGTGACATTTCGAAGTATATGTAGAAGGATATGTAGTTGACATGTAGCACTTGTGTAGTTACCGTGTAAAAGATAGAGTCACACTGACACGCAGTATGGCAACTCTGTCCAAGAGCTATTTAAAGCTCTATTTAAAATAAACCGCCGAACTATCGCACAAAAATACCGATGACACCACAGGTAAAACACATATCGATGTATTGACTATCAATATTTTAACATCCCAACAAATTTAATTTAATTTTCAAATGTATATTTTAGAAGAAAATATTCGCTCACGAATCGTACTTACATGTTTTATTTATTCCAATAGATTGCATTTAAATCATTTTCGCTCATTCACTTTCAGACCATTTCTATTCGGCGCGCAACTCTCGCGGTTAGTATCGATAAGCGAACTTGAATCGGGAAAGGCTCTCCTTGAACCGGTAGGCAGCAATGAGTCTCATTCCATGCACTCCAAAAGTTTTCATACCCTAGCGAAAAGGATATTATAAAATTGCGAAAGGGATATATAGGATATACAGGAAACTAATCCAAAGCATGAATACGTCTAGAGCATATTAATTTGAGAAAATTTCTTAGATTGAAATACATTAATAGGGTATAAAAATTCCCATACTCCGGTTGACAAGTAACAAGTCTTCAAATACCAGCAACATTGACGTGACAACATTGCGACTGTTTTTTTGTGGAACTTTTTTGTTTAAACCGTTTTTTAGGCAAAATCCAATAAAAGCAACTATTTAAAATAAACCCGTCAAGTAGAAAATTGATTAATTAATTGTATAAAATTAACTGGGCAGGGCTGAGAGATCTATCTATCTAGTAATATTGGACGGAAAAACAAAAACGAGAAATATGTATACTGGAACTGAAATTCGTTAGTATATTTCCGTTATATTTTTAAAATGAGACGGTATATTTTGGTATATATCAGAGGGTCGGACGGTATATTTTAACGATAAATGCGCGGTCACACTGTAAGCAACTTCGTTTTAAATAATTTGAATATACAAATTTGGAAAATGTCCATGCAAAATGGTAAGATAATCGGCTAGATAGTATCTGGCTGGCGACAAGGAGAAAAAGGAGGAGAAAAAGCACAAAAAAGCACATTGACGACGGTTCCTATGAAGATGTCAGCATGAGAATGGAGGAAGATCTGTTGCTGGAAGGCGAGGATGCACCACAAACATTGTACGAGTATATCGAGGAAAAACAGATGCCGTGCTGCGCACGTGTGTCGCAACGTTGCCATCGAGGACGAGGTAAAAGGGGAGGACGATAAAGAGGAGTCGCCTGCTGCCCAAATGAAGCAGAAGCCGGAGCAGTTTACTAGAGCCCGCTCTAGGAGACCGGTCCTTCGCCAGGTCGAAGGAGAAAAGACTCGCATCATAGCCCAAGCCCAAGCACAAACCCAGCAAAAAAGAGCAAAACCTTCAGGTTTCAGATTCTCACTGCTTCAGCCAAAGCGTTAGGTATAGTCGATTAACTGCTTAAAGGATAATTCTGCAAGTTCAGAGTCGCACTGCTTGAACCAAACCTTCAGTTTTTAGGTTCTGACTGCTTGAGCCAAAGGTTTAGTCGGTCTGCATAAAGGATAATTTTGCCTGACTACTCGATAGTAAATCAGCTAGCTATCTAATGCACAGAAGGGGGTGTCGGTGTCTATTATCAGCTGCGAATGTTCCAAATGCTGACGGAGATGGCGATCCGTTTTATGTTAACCGAGTGACGAAACACGTGATGCGTAGCAACAGCGCGTGTATTGTGTGTGAGCTGGGCGGACTATCAAGAAACGATTTGCTAAATCAGTCCGATGACTTAATTTCAATTTGAGCAATACGAGGGCAGGGCAGAGATTAGGGGATCAGGGTGGTAGAATGGCTGGGGGAGCATGGATTGATTGTTCACTGGGGTGAATGTAAATTAATGAGAATGAAGTCATCGCTTATTAAAGGAAAACTATGACGGACTAAGCATTGGCTTAAGGTGCGTATTTAGATTACTTTATTTAATATTTAAAATTATACGTAATAATTATAGAATACGGTATAGTTCTGCATTACATTCGGGGGCGTGTTCTGTATTCCGCTGAAGTACAACTTAAAAATATCACACACAAATACCACGCCAGAAAGAAGACCCCTCCAGCATCCTCATGATTAAGTTCTTCCTGCTGGACTATAGATCGCTCTACGGACACTCCTTGTCGCTGATCTTTTGGAAGCCTGTAAATATCACAACAGAAAAGAAGGGATATGAATCAGTTAAGAATATAAGGATGGGAATACAGCTCTCATTTTTTGTACTCACTTGCATTCTGCAGGCAATTCTCCGTCTTCATTACACACAGATTGCGATAGGTCCTGGTGGTACCCTTGTCATCCGCTGCACAAATGGCTGCATACTCCTGCGTATCACAATCCATGGCACACTTCACATTGGGATCGGGAAGGCTGAGGCCCTGGACCACTGTCAGGGCATACAGCGCCACTATAAATAGACAAAGACATCACAGCAGAGTTTGTTAGTTAGTTAGGCAGGAGGCGTGCGAAAAGAATCACTCGAAACCCGTCGACCAGACCCGCATACAAAGTGCTCTTGATCAATCCCCCATGATATCACCCACATCTCCGCCAACACCAGCACCAGTACGCCCATCGATTCTTCGCGACGCCAGAGCGTCTGGCATGTCGAACCCCATACCCAGAGGCGGCGGCTGGGGATGGGGCTGGCACAGTCTCCAGCAGTCGGCATTAGTGCTGCATACCCAATTAACCATGTCAGCAGCACGCAATGCCAAACTAAATCCGAGAATCTGGCCTTGCCCAAACGACCTAATCTGATAGTTAAATGACTCAATGAATCTCTGAAACTTTCCATTCATAAGTTTTGCCATTGCATTTGAATGGAGCGGGCCTCATTTTGCTCCTATAATTTGAGATTCATGGAAATGTGGATTTCCCCAGGCCAAATCGTTGAAATAGGTCAGACTCTTGTTGCTATTGCTGTTGCTGCTTTGGCGAAAAATTTATAGTCATGTTTCATATTTCTGAGATTAATTGTAGCAATTGTCAATAAATGAGTCACAGTGCACTGGACATTGATACTCGTATAGAAAAATGCCACATTAAAAAGATTATTTTACTATGGAAAGAATTGAAATATTTTCATTCTTAGTTTTTACAATTTTCAACGGAAGGAATCTAATCTTTGCTTAAACCCATTCGATGTTCCTTTGATATATTCTCACTAAACTTAACAAAAGATATTCCCATTTGTACGTACATGCCAAAAATACTGCAAACAGCTTCATATTGTTAAATATTTGTTGACTTCCGATTAATTGCCGCAGGTATTTTAGGATCTTCACTTCCGCACTTTAGCTGCTTTAAACGCACTTTGCACAATAGTTTTTTGCTGCGTGTGAACTTTGGGGGTTAGACGAATTGAATATGCCGTGGCTGCCGTTGAGTTGATTAAAAGTCAACCGAAATGATTCAATATATTCTATAAAATATATATTCCCGAGTTGGGGCTTGTCACTGAACTTCAGACACGTGTGTTTGTGTGTGTCTGTTTTTGTTGTTACGTATATAAATGTTTAATCGCGGACGATTCTGATTCTGATTCCGTGTGTGCTTCTGCTTCTGCTTCTGGGTTGTGATTCTGATTCAATCCAATACGATTTGATTCGATTCGACTCGACTCTCTGTCTCGGCGATGCCGCACCAGCACGCGTCCAAATGCGAACTGAAACTAAAGCGCCGCGCAAAGATATCCTCCAGCCAGCGTCCAGCGTCCGAGTGGTCGATTGACAAACTGACTAAATGACTGATTGATGGCTTGACGACTGCGACTGGACGTTGGATGCTGCGATAGGATGGGATGTGATGGGATGGGATGGGTTGGTTGTGGTCCGTCCGCTGTTAGATACAGATACAGATACAGATACGGATACTGCTGGCTGCACAGCGATTCGATTTTCAATTTCAGTTTCGAGTTTGAGTTTGGTTTGGGTTTGGGTTTTGGGCTTGCGCTGGGGTCCAGCAATCAATCAATCAATGACTGTCCGACTGGCTGGCTGGCTGGCTATCTGTATCTGGCTCTGATGGCTGTCGTCTGCCGTTTGCCGTCGTAGCGCACGAATGATGTCCGACCACACAGTGTCTGTTAGTTTTATAGAATTTTTTTCATGCTAAAAAGATTTACGCTCGTGTCGTCGTCTTCAATTTTCTTTTTTTCGTTTCTCTGTACAACATTTTGCCTTTACTCTTTACTTTTTTCTTATTCTTATACGAGTATTGTATTGTTTTTTGTTTTGTACGAGTATTTGCGATGGTGGTGGCTTGCTGTTAGCTTGGCTGGAAGATTCATACGAACACCGATCCGATCGATCGGTAGATTGGGCGATCGTTTGATCGATACTTCTCTCTCTCTATAGGCAAGTCACGTCACGTCACGTTGTCGCTGTCGTTGTCGTTGTCCACCTTGTTGTTGCTGGCTGGAGTTTTGTATTTGAATTATTCATGTATTTATGCAGTCACAGAAATGCTGTTGCTAAAAATTCTCGTCCTCGGCCAGCCGCTGTTAATTGGTTCACGTACCGTTCAATACTGTTCTCTCTCTTGGTTCGCGATGCTGCCCAATGCTGCTGCTGCTGTGGCATCTTCGAAAATTTCGTCAGCATAATCGACCGCCAGACCGCCAGACCGGCAGACCACCGGACCACCGGACTCGTACCCCAAAGCAGTCGCACGCTTATCAGAAAGAGAGAGATACAACAAAAATTCAAAATTAAATAAAACCAAAGGCAAAAATATGTGAAAATTGTTTCAATTTGCGACGGCCACGAGTTCACTCCACCCCAGAAATGTCTATGAATTTTCTTTGATGGTTCCGTTTCAGACATTTCATACGTATTGTAGCATATGTATATCCATAACTATATGTAGGTCTGTTATTTATGGATACGCGACGCTTTTGATTTAGAATTTTTCTTTTACATTTTTGGGATTTTTTGTATGCGTTTCTCTCATGGCTCTCAAGCTCATAGAAATTTATAGTCTTATCAGCGGCATACGATTATCAGCCAGGAATATCATCCAAATTGATGGGTGGTATTGTTTCATGCGTAATTAGGTGATTTCCTTGGGGTTTTTACCTTTAAGCAAACAAAAATTGAGTCACAATTATATGAAAATATGCATCGTTCTTACCCATAGAAAGTAATCTTTGGATTTGGCCTTGGAGATTTCCCCAGTAAGGTAAACAAAATGTCGCTTTTCTGTTAAGTTTTTATGCTAGTGCGCCTAAGGCAAGACTACTTAGGAAGTGATTTATTTCAAAAAGTGCACTACAAAGAAGTTCAATCGAAAGTTAAGTCTGAATTCTACTAGAAACATTTGTATATAAGTCTACGAATCTTAGGTCTATTATTGTACTACAGAGATGTCTTTCTAAATTGCGAATTATTCCAAATTTCAGCTATAAAATTCTACTAAATAGGTTAGGAATACAGAAAGAAAACTAATTAGTTTCCGATTTAAGTCTGCAGAAGTAGGGCCACACCGGCCAGAATCCATTTGCCAGGCTTGTCTTTGGTTTTCAGATTCAAATTCGAGACGTAGGTGGTGGGGCCACGAGTTCGGGTCTTGTAGACGGGGCACTCGTACATATTCCTCAAGTCTTGCTTGTCTTGGGTAATGGCCTGCAATAGACAATTCGAAATGGAATGGAATCTAGTTTTTTTGGGAATTTATTCCAACATGCGCCAACTCAGAGACGCCACAGATCTATTCTCAATTCAGCATTCTCGGATTTTCGCATTTACCAAACAAAAATTTGCATTACAAAAAACTCACCCGAATATTGATCACTGGCATTGACGGATAGAGTTCTTTGAGCCGCGACTCCATTATGATGCCCTGCTGTATATCCCATCGAGCGCCCTCCATGAAAATCCCGTGCACGCAGCAACCATCGCGCGGTGCCGTTCTGTAATTACAAGATCGTGGATCTTTTCAATCGAGTGTCTGTCCGCCTGTCTATCTATAGTAGTTTAATTAGTTGGGGGGGCTGGTGCTGGTCTAGATGCTAATCTGCTTGTACGTCGCGACGGTGCGCCGGTGCCAAGCCATTGTTTGCTTAGCGGCGACAGCCGACGCCATGTGAAACGTGCGACGTTTTGTCGACCAGGGCGCCACTTAATAAGCAATCAGCACAGCGGACAGCCACAATCAGGCGGCACACAGACAATTGTAAATTACAATGCTATTAATAATTCCTATTTATACTCTATGTGGTGTTTTAAAATTAGCTCTTATGAAATAGCATTGCGGCTATAAATAGACACACTCGGAGCGAAGACAGTCGCTGGCCATTGGCCGCAGTTGAAACAGAAGTGCCCTCCCCCCTACATGTTGTAACATCGCATGAAATAGATTACATGGCATAGAAAAGGGGCCCCGGAGGGTCGACAAACTGTGGAAAGAGGTTACAACTAGCCAAAGCTGGAATACCCCTGTTAAATATCACTCTTCCTATGTACAACGAAACAATCACCGCATTAGCGATACTTTTTGCATATAGAAATGCCAGCACCCTCTCGCTGGGAGGGTCATCTGAAGAGTCAATTGGGTATTGCGTATCATATCTCACGTAAATTCCTCCTTCTGCTTCTTGGTCACGTCACACTGCAGGCACATCTTGTCCAGTGGCAAGTCATTGCGTCGCGCTGTGCTCTGCATGATGGCTGTGAGTAGAGACTGCGGATTGAAGAACCCAGCCAGCCAGACGCAAGAGGGAAGCTGCAGAGTGAAAAGAAACGAATCAGCTAAGAGCATTTTTGGACTGTTTAGTGGATGGACTTACCACAAAGTCGGTGGACCAGGTCTCCAGCTCTCGCAGACGCAAGCACAAGTCGATGAACCAATTGTTGAGACCCAAGAGCGAAGGATACGCACGTTGCGTCCAAATGGGCGGCACTTGATCCAAAAACAGTGAATTCTCCAGCACCTCCATGTCCGATGTAATGGTCAATTCACCCTTTAAGCCCAAGTCCAATTCCTTCAGGCTGCGCTTCATCTCGCTGGTCAGGAAATTCATGCGCTCGCACTCCTGAAAGGCCACTATCACATAGGGCGTACGCTCCTCCACCTTGTTCATGATCTCGATCATGTTGAATTCCTCCGGCAGCTTCTCAATAATCTCATCGACAATCTGCTTGACCTTGTCCTCGCGCGTCACCGTTGTCCCGCCCCCGGCACCTGCGTCGCGTGGCTGCATCTCGAAAACAGTGCGGAAAATGTTCTCCGCTCGCGTGGTTAGGAACCCGATCTCCGCATTGGGATGCAGGCCATACAGATACGGCGACTCCGCTGGCATCATATCGTCTATATAGCTGTGATAGCCCTGGTAGTCCGTGTTGGGCGGTGCGGGAAAGGATGGCGCCAGAAACAGCTCACCATCCACCAGATCCGGCTGCATATACTCCTCCAGATAGGTGATGCACAGCCGCCTGTCCCAGTCGTCGGTTATGTGCCCCCCATACATGATCTCCCCGAACAGATAGCGCAGATCTTCCCACGGCACCTTGGCATTGGCCTCCAGATAGTTGTACAGCACTGACACACTGATGTTCAGGTCACCCACATTAAAGGGATAGATCTTGTTCCAGCCTTGTGGGCCAAATTTGCGCCTCTCTGCCACCACGGCATGGAAGTAGCAGAGGGAGAATAAAATGGCCTTGAACTCGGCCTCCTTGCCCGACATCTCCAGAGTTTCCTGGGTGAAGTTGTCCAGAGCCTTGTGGAGATTCGCCAGCATGCCAGTCGGTGGCTCATTGGTGATCTTGATCGATGATTCCAATATACCCTAGAATCGATATGGAAATTAAATCACTACATCTTTAATATTGATTATAGGTAGACATACCTGTGGTATAATGTGAGCTGAGGGAGTGGATGCTGGCTCTGCGCTCAGGAACATGCGGTAGTCTGGATGCGAGTCCTCGGCATAGTACTCCAGTTTCTTCTCAAGGACGGGCAACCATTTCCTCACCAAATGAATATTCTGTAACACCACCCAGTGGCCATTCTTCGCTGCTGTATCCATGGCCGCCTCTGCAATGGCTTCTTGACCCTGTCCCAATGACACATTATGGAAATTACCGAGATCCATTGTAAAGCCCAGTGTTTTGCCCAAAGCCTCCACATCCTTCAGGGGATTAACTCCTGGCGAGAGTATAAAGAAGATCGGTGTGGATGGACTGGCCTCCTCGTAGGATTTGGCAAACTCCATGGCACGGCTCTCCACATATTTGGAGCCCAGTTTCTCCTCAATGAAGTCACTGTAATGAAATGGATTACACATTATTCGTACTTAATTTCGGAGTATCTGGCGGATACTTACGCTAAAGCATAGGTCATGCGATCGGGCCTTAAAGCTCTGATCATGCAGAGCCTCTGCAAAGCAGTTTTGTTCTTCCATTCCTGTGGGAATTTCTCCTTCTCCGGCAGCTCCGATTCCACAAGCTTCTTCCAGCGCTTCGAAGACGTTTCGATGTCACGATCCAAGTTCCGGAACTCATCCTTGGACGCTAGACTGCAAATTCCGCCCCACGATTGGTTTGATAAGAAGTCCACAGGACTTGTCACATGTGGCTTGATCGGGAAGCGGAGTAGGAAGTCCAGTTCCGCGGATGTCAACTCCTCGTTCATAAGTAGAATCTGTGGGAATCAATTCATTAATCAAAGATCAAACATCAGTGTGATAGAAGCTCTCACCTGAAATGTCATTTGCGAGGCAAAGATTAGCTTGTCGCATTCGAAAAGACCACGCGAAGTATACTGAAAGACCGAATACGTAATGCAATCGATCAAATTGGACACGCGCAAATCCAAAGTTTCGCCCGGATCAGCCTTGGCTATGGCCTTTTGGAACACTACACTAAAAGCCTGTACATCAAAGGAACAATCAAAATCCATTCCCATACAACATATGACCTATTAGCCTACCTTAAGTGAGAACTGATAGATCGGATTGATCGTGTTTAATTCGTTCAGTATAAAGTAGAGCAGACTGGCCCTGGCCGCTGCTGGTCTGTAGTATTCACGGGCCTTGTCGATTTT